AAAAAAACTATTAGCCGAAATCTGATAGAGTTTTTGTTTGCATTAGTAGCTTTTTAGCTCACACCGTTTTCCAGGAGTGTCCTATACCAAGAACTTGGTACGCTCTTGAGTATGTACATGGTAGTCCACATCTATTTGTTGGTGGTATGTCTTTGATTAAACATGAGGAAGGTATTAAATTCTGAGTAGAAGATATGGTGTTTCTTGTGAGCTCTGCTAACGATCCCGCTTTCTTTCTACATCATTCTTTCATCGATTACATCTGGGAGACGTGGCGGCAGGGAAAACAGGTAAAGCAATTCAAAAGTTTGAAGTGCTGTCAAGCAGAACACATGTAGCCTAGGCAAAATCGTGAGAGCGACTATCCGAGAGATGACATCCGATGTAACAGCGCTGCTCATTTTGCTCGTGCTCCTATGCTTCCGTTCTCACCTATGTTAAACATCGATGGATTAAGCAACGAATACACTGGTATGTTCTATTTTTTCGCTGTTTGATCACTTGTTTTCGCAATGATGTCTTAGTCTTATATATGTTTCATATTTTCTCTATCGATATGCGGAACGACCCACTTGCTCATTTAACGATCGTAACTGCGGATCAAGGTGAGCTTCGCACTACTACACACTTGCTTCGTTATAATGGCCGAGCAGACTGACTAGATCCTTCCTGCTAAGAATCAGTCATTTATTTGATCAATAGAACTTTGTGATACGACGCGAAAGGAAACAACATTCTGACTTAAGTTTACGTGCAGTTTCCTGTCCTCTTCCCCGAAAGTGCGAAGTTTTTTGAAAGTATTCGTTCGTTTACTCGCGTCTCATATCGTCAGTTTACAGAAGCTTTGCTCTAGCTGGGAATCAAAAGTAAACATTTTTACTGGTGAAACGTTTACGAAATCTTTTCTTCATTGACATTTGGTTCCGTACCTCTTTAGAGGTGTGACTAGTCAATCTCGTTCTATTGTCTATATACTTGAAAATTTGCTGGTCATCTGTCATTTGTTTTAGCTCCCGCTTATATTGCACTGGGAGCGACAAGACTGATCATGCTCTTAATACTTGTGACCATGCGGCGCCAGAAAGCATTACTAGTTTCCTTTATGGCAGATACCACTTTTTTATCCTTTTGCTGGAATATTCGCTACCGCGGCAACTTGTACCAACTTGCTTCAGGTACCTCTTTTGCGATTTATCTCACGGGCCAGCGCAGTGCGCATCAAAAGTTGTACCCAACGGCAACTGTACTGGATTCCTTCGTGGTGAGTGCTTTTCGCTTTGCAAGCTTCAACAACTACTCTTCTATTATAGGAGAAGATGTTTGCTACAGGAGCACATGTAGGCGAGGCACCTGCGTAGTGAACTCAGTTTGTCTGATATTAATCAATTGTAACTAGCAAAATGTGGACTTCAGGCAAGATCCAGCAGTTTACAACCACCAGCATCGAGTGCTGCTACTGTTAATGTAGCGCCAGTCCCAGCTTCAGTTTTGCTGCAACAGCCGTCAAGAAATGAGGTTTAATTCCGTGTTTGTAGCGTATTTTACTTGACTAACAAACTCATCAATGGCTTCTTCTTAGCGGTTTCAATGTCATTATGGCTGAACTGAACAGCGATGTTCGAGTTCACCCAAGAATCTCTCATCATTGCTGATTTTGGAAACAAGTCATATTTTTTTGCTCAAAGTACACTTACATAACAGCCATCAATAATATCCTCGATTTTGGCGAAAAATTTGTAGATAAAGCTGTAAGAAATCATTAACGTAGTTAGCCTTTTGTCATTACCGTTAGCGTTTTCCCACAACAGCTCTTACATGAATGTTAAGGTTTGCCTCAATGATGACGAATGCTGCGACTTGTGGGCTAAAAATGGTCAATGTCACAGCAATCCAACCTTCATGTCAACTTCCTGTAAAGCTTCATGCCTGATATGCATACCCAATCACACAAATTCCTCAGGTATTTAAACTCTTGACTCTTTATTTCTGGAAACCAGCGAATGCACAAAAGCAAATGCCTGATATGCATGCCCACTTACAGCGATTCCTCGGATAAGATGCAGGAGTGCGCATTTTTCTGCTCCCAGTGCAAAAGTAGCTCACAGCTTCGGAAAACTAGAAAACGTGTATTATCTTTCGAATGATGTCGTAAACTTTCAGATTGTTCGGATAGGTCGGACTTTTGCACAGCAAGCAGCTGCGGGTCGCATTCTGGATGGATGAAAGAAAACTGCAGGAAAACGTGCGGCTTTTGTAATCAAACAAGACTACAATCTTGCACATTTCCATGGTGCCAAATTTTTGCTTCAGTACACTTTCAGTGTTGGAACGTTTTCTTTAGAACCACCACCTATGCCACTGTTGACTAATCGTCGCAACATCAACGATGGAGCAGGTTTGAAGTTGGCTATTCAATGTCGTGGCTTCATGTAACGATTACCTCGTCAATGCTCGCTTGCAATCCCTTGGGTTATGAATAAAATCTTGCTTTTTCTCTCTTATTGCCGTATGCAACAGTTTGAACCTCGGCATGACGACTTAATGTGACAAATCCCAGTTTTTTGTAGCCCATCAAATTACTGCAACTGTATTCTTAAATCTCTGTGGATACGTAGT